GTTATGGAGGTTACTCTCCTGTGTGAGGAAATGGATTGGATTATCCTTCTGCCCAATTGTATGTTTGGTTATTAGCACACAGGTTCTTAATTATGTGTGGCTTTGCCTTTTTCCTTTTATAAAATAAATGTGGATAAAGGAAATGTCAACTAGAAGCATGGAGTGCCTAATTGGGGCTCTCAGAGGTGGCCAGAGAGAATAAAAATAGAAATCTTCTGAAATGATTAAAAGGCAGGAGTCTTAAATGTAATTTAAACAGTATTCAAATTGATTAGCTCCATAGTTAATTTATAGCGCTCAGTGCTAATATTCTGCAAATACATTGAAAATCACTCTTTTCCTAAATTAAACATTTACCATCTTTTAAAGTTACACTGGAAGTCAAGGCATACCTACATGAAGATTAAAGAACTAGCTTTTCTAACACGCAGATTTTATTGCATTATTATGATAATGCTGCTATTTATTTTACAGCAGATAGAGTAGTTACTACTTATATTGAAAAGGAGATATAATGATGGTTGATAGTTATAAACATGATTATTGTTTGTCACTTTATTAGAGACAGTTATAGAACAAAACAGGCAGAACTCTTTGGACCTTCCAATGTTACAATCAACAAAGAAATTAGATTTCTGGTGAGATTAGGATTCTGGTTACTTAATGAAAATATTTGATTCAAAAATTTAAATTGGTTCTAAAAAAATTTAATTGGTTCTGCCCTTCTTGGGAGGCCGGGAGTAGGGGTGGTGGCAGGAGAGGTGGGAAGAGTTCTAATTGTGCTTCTCAGATCTCCTTCCAGAATAAATTTTCTATCTCAAAAATCAAAGACTTCTCTGAAAATGGCAGACAGCAGACAGCGCATTATCCTCAAGCTGGTGAATAGGACGGATTTTTCTCCCTAAACGTCCCTTCTCCTCTCTAGTTTGAATGATCAATAAAATGCCTTGGCTTATCTCTGAAAATAACCTTGTTGACAACACAAATATGGACTTAAACACGCTACCTCCACATTTAAGATTTAAGAAGCCCCCACTAAATGTCAGGGGGGTGTCACTGTGTTTGCTGTGATACTTGGTTATTATTAGTGTTTAACTGCAATCCCCCAGCAGCGCCACGCCGCCAGCAGCACCATAAATTTTAATGTGATCATGTGCTCTTTTCTTTTCATATCCAGTGAATTCTGCAGGATCATAATATTCTATATGAACCCTAGCTGAACCTTAGTGTGATATGAAGGAAAAACAAGATTTCTAACAGTGATAGTTGTTCATCGTTTTATAGTTTTTTAAAAAACTGGACACTAAGCAACATGAATAACATCACCCTCAACTAAATCCACTCGTTCAAATGAATCGCTATTGAGCCCTACAGGATGCAGGGCATGGCCCAAAGTGCTAATGAGTACATTTATGGGATAGTAAAGAACACTGACTCTTAAGGAAACCTTTTCTCACCCCCACCCCCTCTCCCCCGGAGAATCTGTCAGAACTCTCATACATCATTTATAAAACCGAAAAATGTCTCTGCAACCTTGGCACCACCACATACCTTTTATTTTACAGACTGCAAACAAAAGCACAGCCATTTTCCCTATCTGGCCTGCCTTGCCAATTTAAGAAATGTGTTTCTCATCTTTCGTTATGTATGTGCTTAATGGGATATTTATCCTACAAGCTTCCATAAACAAAGAGAATTTATATAATTATTCTTGATCTGCAGGTTTTTATTCTTTGTTTTAACCACAAATAGTAGCTGGCACTACAGGCTGTATTTGTTCAAGGAATTCCAAATATTTGGTAAATTTTAACTACCTAAATATAGAATAATATTGAAGGAATTCCAAATATTTGGTAAATTTTAACTATCTAAATAAAGAATAATATTGAAGCTTTCATTTCAAAATTTGGAGTTTCAGGCCAGAGGTATGGAATAAATTAGAAAGTCATTAGTAGGGTTCCCAGTGAGCTAAATTTCCACCCTTTTACATCAAATTGCCTATTAATCAAAGGGGTTCATTCTTTTTTCTTTTTTCTTCTTTTTTCTTTGCCCACAAAGGAACAAAACTGATTCACTACCTAGACATGCAGTTGAATACTTTTGCAAAATGTAATTCTGAGTCAGTAAGTTTATTTTCCATATTCAAAATTACTTCAGGGTTAAAGGTTTGGAAGCTGGTGTGTGTATTTACAACTTGCTTGTCCTGTTGTACGTGGTGTCATAATTTGCTCGGCAATGACACAGAACTATGCATTTTCCCACTCTCAGAGACAATGGGCTTAGAAAAATATACAACACGCACAGATGTAAGGTCACACGTATTATTCCTGCTAACAGCTCTGTGGGCAAGGCAGTCAGAATGCAGCCCATTCTGATAGGAAGGTCTCTTTTTGGACACACTGGCTCTGTTGGTGCCTCATTTAAGAAAAGAGTGTGCAAGTGTGTGCCTTATTATCTCCCATCCTAGAAGAAAAGAAGTACTTTGAGGGAAGGTTTGTAAGGTTTTTTCCCTCCTTTACTGGCAACTGGCTGGGAAACTTTGCCTTGGAGCGCCATCTAGAGGAAAACTCAGCATATGTGCGCCATGCTCATATGCTTTGGAACTTTGGCTATGGGACTCAGGACAAATCCAGTGGTTGGTGCTTGGTGAGTTCTTTCTTTTAATATTAAGAGAATATTTTGTTTCTAACTCAATACATGAAAATGGAATATGAGATAACTCCAATGCAAATACAGCCACTGATGAGAACAAAACAATGAACGCTCCTAACAGTCTTCAGGAGTGTGAGGAAGTTATCATTTTGCCATAGGCTGAGGTCGTATTCCAGAAATCAGAACTGATGAGTAAATTAAATTCATCCTTTTCTTCACCAATCAAGTAATCTTTTTTCATCTCTATAATTATTTTCTTAATTAAAAAATCCTCATTAACCATGTTGCCCATGTTCAAGTTGAAGAGACGGCTTGTGTTAGGGACAGAAGTTGACGTTTTCAACCTATTGTAACCCTGGGTCAAGTTCAGCAAAATTTAATGAGCAGGAAATAATATCTTTTCCAGATGTGGCTTCTCAATTCAATGTGAAGGAGAAAAACTAACATTCATCAATGTATTCTTTTCAAAGTCAGGGTGGGAACTTTAACAGAAAATTCTCCTCTTTTTGAGCTAGCATTAATACGAAAACAAAACCGAAACCTTCTCCCACAGTGCTACTCTTCAAGGTTGCTGAGCAGGCTTGCAAAAATAACTATACCCTTGGAATATTCTGGCAGCATGAATACCCACATTGTAGTGAGAGTTTGAGAGTTCTGCTTTCTTCAAGTTGTTGAAAAGGATCAAGATTGTCCGTCTTTTGGAAACATTTACTGAAGAAAACTGGTATGTATTTCCTTCTACTCCTAAGTGTCCTCCCTGACCCCACTGCTCTTGGCTAACTTCCCCCATCCCAACTATTTTAAGGCTTGTCATAGAAGTCTTTTTCTGTCTTTGACATCTCTCACTCACAATATCAAGGCCATTCCTTTATTTCCTTCATTGAACAAGGCTCCTGCTTAGTTATTTTTGGCAATCCACCATAAACCCAGAAGTTCTCCAAAATAACAGGTTAATTTCTTTATTGAATGTGTTCTGTAAGCCAGACACATAAACTCTGCACACAGAAAATTACTCCTTGTCTATCGAGATCTGATATGGTAAAGCAAGATGCAAGTGGTTAATTTATTTTTCTTAAAGCAACATTGGCCCTCAAGCAATTAAGGCTAATAATTTAAAGCATCCTCCTCCCTCATTTGACTGGTCAACTTCTTTTACGGGGTACATTTCAGAAGGACAGGGCCAGTCCAGTTTTTCTAGGCCAATCTGCTAGTCCTTAAGCAGTTAAGGACCCCCAAAACAAGTTCTCCAGTAGAAAAGTGAAGACATTTTGGTCCCATCTTTTCATGCTAATGCACACTTTAGTTCAAGTTAATCTAACACACATCTGTTGAAAACGTTCCAGGTGCATGACTGCGTGCAAAATGCTGGTGAGGCCCTCAATAAATAAATGTTGGGCAAGCAAGTAAATGTTGTTGAAAGAATAAGAAATTATCTCTTTAGTTTCAAGCTGCTGACTCTATAGCATGAGAATGAGAGATCTGTGACTTTAAACACACAGCAGAAAGAAAGACATGTTGTACTAGACACAGTGCAGAGACAGAAGTAATTATTGATGCTTGGGGAGAAAGGGGAAGACTTTGTGGGAAAACTGGCATTAGATCAATGCCTTAGTGGATGAGTAAAATTTTAATAGGCAGAGAATGGGGCAGAGCATTTCCTTTCCTAAGGAAGGAGCAGAACAGTCCTTATTCATTTGGCCAAAGGCAAATGTATGTCATTTGGAGTTCTCTATCTTGGGTTTCAATTTTAGTGTGGGTACAAAGATGGAAGGTACTTAGATTTATGTTATAATAATCTGAAACTTGTGTTCTATTTTATATGGTAAATATGTTTATACACATACACATATAGAGTCAGCAGCCTGAAAGTAAACATATATGTTTACGTGTAAACACTTATGTTTTGCCATCTTCCCTGGCATTCTCTCAGGACTTCCATGTTCTTGTGGGTCATGTTCACACACTCCTACTATGGCTACCCACTGGCCTAAAGAGTCTTGCCCAGTGATCTCTTTGTTCTGTTACTCATACCCATATCCTCTGCAAAAAGATTACTTTGAAAATCCAACCATTCTTTTTGTAAAAAGAACCAGTTTTCCCTGAGATAAAACATTGAAAAGAGGCTCAGGCAATCATTCCAAGACTACACCTGCTTCAAGGTGTTGGTGATTTTACAGTTTTAAAGCTCGGAAATTGTTGTGAAATATATACTCCCATAACCAGGGCACGTAAGTTCTGGTGTGAAATAAATCAGATGGCAATTGGTCAGAGAAATGGAAATGTGAAGGAGAAGGCCTGTAGGTCCATAAAATGACAGATGACTTTCCACCACCACTGAACACACTTACTGTTAACATTGCAAACATCAGTTGGCACACGTTGAAGGCGTGTCTCCAGTTGTGGTAGAGAACCATTCGATAATTTTTCCTCACTGTCAAGAGCCACCTACATAGTGTCTGAAACGGGAAGGGAGAGGTCGTATCAGGCAGTAGTATGTGTCTCCAGTGGGCTGTCATCAAAACGATGCTTTCTGTCTGAGTGATCTTCAACAGCCAAAGTCCTCCCACAAAACTCCCATGATTCTCAATGAGAATGGCAATCCCATGAGGTGTGCAGGCTGAGTGTTATCACCCTCAATTTGCATTTGGGAAACCCAGCTACCATGTTGTCCCCCGTGCACTCCTGGGATCACCCAAGGTGGAACATCTTACCTCATAGTCAATTTTAAATTTCTGTACCATCCCCAGCTCCATGAACATCCGGAGAGCAGCTGTGATCATGGCGTCAACATCAAGAGAAAAGTCATCAAAATGTATGTCATCGATGGCAAGTTCTGACACCAGAGGGATGTTGGCTGCCTACACAACAGGAGACATAAGTCAAGCCAAGTTCACCAGCTTTTCCACACCCCCTCGTCGTGCTCTCTTTTCCTACTTATCAGATGTGCCACATAAATCAGACCTGACCTGCACTTACACTCTGATACAGCTAAACTCTGAGCTGGAAATGTCTTTTGTTTCTGAACTGCAAATGCCCCAAGCAAATAAAGAGGGAGGGGGTGGGGGGGGTGGGGAATGAAGCTAATCTGAAGAAAAAATATACACACTGGATCTAGTCTGCAGAATTTAGAATACAAAGCTGTCTAGTTTACTGAAGCTGCAGTTATACAATATATTCTGATGCATATTACAAAGCACTAAATGCAAGAAACATCTGGGCAGCCAGCAGCTGTGAATTTTAATTGCTGCTATTCAGAGGAGGACATGGGAATACACTGCTTTGCCTTGTTTCTTGTATTCTTATATCCTTGTTTCTTGTATCCTTATATCCTGTAGCTGTGCACATGCACTTTGTTACCATGTGTTCTGTATATTCAGAAGGATGAAAAGGATCAGACAGCACATCTCTGGCACAAAGTATTTTCTTAATAAAATATAATTGTCTGGAGGATCAGCACAAGCATGTTTCATCAAAAGAATAAATTTACAGTATCATTTAGTTTCATTCTATATAAACATCACAACATTACAAGACTGGTCATACATATTCAGGGTTTTCAAAACACTCACATTAGGCAGCTGTCAATCAGTTGCCCCACACAAACTTAGAGGGAAGGAAAAATCCTTGGGCATCGTTTTCATGCTGATTTCACTGGGATTAATCATATCCTTTGGACCACTCTTGCTAAGGGAATCATTTCTACCTTTTCAGGTTACCGGAGACATTCTGGATTCATATTTCTCATCTAATCACTGCGTGTAAATTATGCAAGGAGTAATCTATACCCTGGGACTATTTTGACTGAGCAATGAAATCCAACTCTGGACATTCTAAGCATCCTGGAAACCATATAACCAATCCTTCCTTCTCAACTCCATGCTCCTCCATAAGAGTTTACATTACTAGACCAAAATCCAGACATTGGTTATTCCCCACAACATAGAAGAACAAGAATAAATACAGTACAGTATTAACTATATGCACATGGTTGTACAATAGGCATCTAGAACTTTTTCATCTTGTGCGACTGAAACTCTGCACTCAATGAACAACTCCCCATCTTCTCTCCCCTCAAGTCCCTGGCAGTCACCATTTTCTTTTCTGTTTCTATGAGTTTGATTATTAGATACTTCATATAAGTGGAATCATGTAGCATTTGTCTTTTAGTGATTGGCTTATTTCACGTAGCATAATGTTTTCAAGGTTCATTCATGCTGTACCATATGACAGTATTTCCTTCTTTTTTAAGGCTGAATAATATTTCATTGTATGTGTATGCAGCTGACCCTTGAACAACATGGGTTTGAGGTGCATGAATCCATTTATATGTGTCTTTTTCTAAACAATTTTTTAATGCTTATGTATTTTTGAGAGAGACAGAAAGACAGAGTGTGAGTTGGGGAGAGACAGATAAGAGAGGGAGACACAGAATATGAAGCAGGCTCCAGGCTCTGAGCTGTCAGCACAGAGTCGACAGGGGGCTCAAACCCATGAACCATGAGATCATGACCTGAGTAAACTGTCAGTTTTGACTGACAGTCAAAAACCTCAGACACTGTGAGTGTCTGACTTTTACTGACTGAGCTATCCAGTTGCCCCTGTATGTGTCTTTTCTCAGTAGGTAAAGGTATAGTACTATAAAAGCATTTTCTCTTTCTTTGATCCTCTTTTTTAAAAGAATTATTTTTTGGCTTATTTACTTTGAGAGAGAGAGAGAGAGAGAGAGAGAGAGAGAGAGAGAGCACAAGTAGGGGAGGGGCAGAGAGAGAGGGAGAGAAAGAATCCCAAGCAGGCTCCACTCTGTCAGCACAGAGCCTGAGACAGGTATGACCTGAGCCAAGATCAAGAGTTGGACGCCCCTTTCTTATGATTTTCTTAACAAAATTGTAAGAATACAGTACCTAATAAATATGATATACAAAATAAGTGTTAATCGGCTCTATGGTCAATAATAGGCTATTAGTAGTTATGTTTTGGGGGAGTCAAAAGTTTCCTGCGTTAGTTTCACTGCATGGGGGTTGGTGCCCCTAACCCCTATGTTGTTCAAGGGTCAACTGTAATACATTTTATTTATCCATTTATTTGCTGATGGTTTAGTCTCTGTCCCAATCAGTTATTCTTTTGAGCAATCATTTTCATATATTAAAGGCTTTAGAATGTTAGAGATTTTCCTTAGCTTTGATTTTCAGTTTACAAGTCACTGGAGGGGGAATCTAACTGACCTGTTTCCTTGGGAAAGCCACCAAATGTGGGTACCTTATGGCTTTGCTCTTTAGCTACTCAGATTCCGCAGAGAGGAATCTTGTGGGTAGAGCCTGGCTGGGAAGCGGGTTGGGGGAAGGGCCTCAGCATCTGTCCCTAGCTCCTCATTCAGGTTCCTAACTCTTCATTCAACCTTGTCTTCAGCATTTACTCCTACCCTCAGGCTCCATGCTGGTGTCTCTCTAACCTAAGAGCTGCTGTTATACCCTCTTAAGGTAGCATAGCTCCCATTATTTATGAAGTAGAGGTGTGAGACAAAGGATCTGGAGATGTCACTGCTTCTTAGATTAGCTGTGTTCCTGTACATAGCCCCACCTTCATCCTCACTTCCAAAGGTACTTATTTAACCAGTTGTGGAGCTATCTGAGAGGGGCTCTGTGGCATAAATACGTTTGCCTCTCAGCTTTTCCCAGTGTTGGTTTATTTTGGTTTTCTTGGGTCTGCTAAATTACATAATACTCATCCATCTGTTTTCTAGCTTTCAAAATTTTGTTATTGTTGAGTGTTCTAATTTCTTTGTTTTTGAAAATTTATGCCTTAAAAATCCCTTTATTGTTTTTTAGGGGGGCCTGAGGAAGGAAGGAACAAAAGAAAATGACTTTATCATTGTCATCCCCAAATTATAGGAATTATATTTATTAAATGACACCTTAAATGATCAACCTAGAGAACTCAGGGGTAGGCCAGCCTTTGGTTTTTAGAAACCTTTGTTTCTCTGTGCATGGGCCTGGCGGCAACCATGCACACCTTTCTTTTATTCTGTACCCCTGTATGTTCACGTGTGTCAATCCTGACCTCGCCTTTTAGGCTGTAACAATCTTAGAGGTGGCTGCCACGTTTCTTTCCCTTAGGGAAACTCCAGAAGGACACTCTGCTTCCACCACACATTACATGAATTTCTATGTACTTGGAATATCTGTGCTTGTTGTAGTTTGTTCAAGTTCAAACCCAAATTCAACTGGAAAACCACTTCCCAAGAGGGTCGAAGCATCATCCCAAAAGACACAACGTTTTCCTCTCAGAGGAAGAGTCTGGTTCTGAGTTGGCAAAGGAAGTTAACCCCCTTGCAGGTGGTTGCTGAGGAACATAAATGGCGATTGAGGCTGTGCTGCTCTCCAGGTGGCCTCTGCCTTGTAGATTATTAATAGTGTATTCCCTGATGCCATTATAAATCCTCTACTCTTCAAAGGCACTAAATTCACTTAATTATCTTAAAAATTAAAGAATATAGGCATTTTTTCATTATGAAATGTTAATGGAAAGGAAATAAGAATATTAGGTTGAAAAATGTAGGGTGACCTCTGGTTCACCAAGACCCATACTTACTGACCTTGTCTTTTTTCCCCTAATAGGTTGATTGATCCACAGTTAAATCATACCAGTCTATAGATCACCCTGAGCCCTGTCGTAAACCCTTGTTGGCACTTGTAGATGCAGAGAAAGTTCCAAGCCTTTCATAAATGACCAGTTGCAGCTATTGTGAGAAGTATAGATAGTTTTTATCCACAGTCCTGGGTTCAAGAGCAGTTTCTGGAGGAAATTATGAAGAATTAAGAGTAGAGTGTGTCCTTAGCAGGTGTGCATGGAGATCTAGTCTGCAAAAGATTTGGGAAGAGCCTTCTGTTGCCAAATTTCCTTGTTATAGAAATACAAGCTCTGCATGTCTTCTGATAAGTCGAGAATGGGACCACATCTTCCGAACCTATAATTACTGTAGGCATAGGATATTAACAAAACAAATCAAAGTCAATTCCTCCAAGTGTCAGTCTTCAACTTTTAAATATTTATAAGGCACCATATCCCTAAATCAAAGAGGAGTGCTACAATCCAAAATAACTACTGAATTAATAGCCAGGAAATAACATTTGGATAAAAGAACCATTTACTTTACTGCAGCAATAAATGAAAACACAGAATTATGAGTCCTGGAGCTAATCTGAATAATGTTCAAGAAGTGGGACTCTAGCTGGCTGGGAGTACCTGTTATCCTTTGACCATTCCTCTTCTTTGTTTGGGTCTTAATAGTTAAGTGGTTATCAAAGGGACTCATAAAACTGCCTCCTCTAAAATTGAAAAGGTAGCTTTACAAAGAGGCCGTAAAATGTTAAAATACAATCCTGGATCCCCTGACACATGAATATTACATTCTGTGATACTCAGAAAATGGGAAGAAACAACAAAGTGGGTGGTGGTCCAGCCCAACCATTTCAAAGGAAAAATGACTTGTTGCCGATCCAGCCCACTCACTCATTGTTCCCAGTGGACAAGAGCAGAAGCTGGGGGCTTTAGGATCCTGGGATTAATGAAGACAGGAGACTGAGCTGTGGTGCTCTGGAGGGGATTGCAAAGTTCTTATATTGCCACATTTTTATAGCTCTTACTACATACCAGGCACTGTTCTAGCACCTTCTGCACATTAACTCATTTGCTCCTCACAAGGATCCTAAGAAGTAGGGAATATTTTTAATCCCATGTTACAGATGAGGCAGCTGGAACAGATGATAGGCAATCTGTTCAAATTCACACAGTTGTGACTGGTGGAGGCAGATTTGAACCCGGGGCATCTGGTTCTAGAGACTGGCTCCTAATCACTGCA